GCAAGATAATCGAACGATGGATAAACGGGCTGACCGGAAGGGGGAGAGGTGCTGTGACAAAGGAGAGAGGGGGAGAAAAATCGCCCCTCCTCTTTCCCCAGGAGGCCGCTCTGGATCCGCCTGTGCCCGGTGCGATAAAGTACGCATAAAATTGTAAACATGAAATATAAATGCATATAAAATTGACATGCAGTCATATTTTACTTTCTGTGGAAAACGGGAATAGTTACAAGTGACACAAGGGGTTGTCATGACACTTCAGATGGTTTAGAGCGAAAATTTGGTCCATTGTGATGAATTTACTCCGAGATTTAGTTAACTTCCCCTCGTTACTATTCATCGAAGAGCCATTGAAGTTGGCTAACAATTCTTGATAACCTCCATAATGTTTTTTTTTTTAATGTGCAGGGAAGCAGCAGACTTGATTTGCATATACCATATGCTGTTTTGCCGTCGCATCGCTTAATAAAAAAACTGGAAAACAAGGATATGTTCTTGCGACTTTTGTTGGAAATGGAATTTTTGTACGGTGCAGAAAAGAGGCTACCAGCGCATATGACGGATGGGAACTGGATGAAATATATGCAAATGCCGAGCATCATCGAGCGATGCTGCTATCTCTGTCAGCTTTATGAGAGCAGAAAGGAGCTGGAAGAAAACGACGAACAAAAGGTAACTTTTTTTAACCTAAATTATTGCGAAGATTTTTCGCAAGGACCCTACGTGTGCCAAACCCTTCGATCTTGGACTGTAGGACTGTTTAGTGCATGTTAAATTTTGCTAAAATTTCAAAGATTATTTCTCCGCAGTAAGTAGCAACAGCAAATTTTTGTATTTCAGATCCTATGGGCTAAAGAAAGCACGGGCGCGAAAAAACCCGCTCTAAACACACTTCATTATTTTGAAAGAGAGCAATTCAGGAGTTAGTTTTTTCCCTTTGCAAATGTTAATTTATCATCTTTCTCTATCTGTTTCTTCTTTCTTTTCCTTTTCCATTAAACGCTAGGACCGTCATACTGACGAGATCCTGTCACAGTGTTGAGTTAAGACGTATATGACTTAATGGACCGGCAAGTCTTATCTCATTCTGGCCTTCTTTACTCATTCTTTCTTGCTTTATATATCCAATACGCCTTCGGCACTTTGCCACGCGAGGCCAACTTGGATGCTACAATCGGCTTACCATCGTTTAAGCATGAGGGATTTTTTTTTTATTGAATCATGGACGATGGGTTGTACAGCCTACACAGTCTTTTTTTTTCCTAAACCTTTATCTGTACTATTTTCTTTAATTTCAGGATTAACATATGAGATGTTTGGAAGCCGATTGTTGGCTCGATGGCGCTGTAATGATTCAGTTCCTCCACTGCTTGTTGACTGTAGATATTTGTCGAATTTAAATTTCGTGACGCAAACATATATTATCAAGTATCATTTTTATCATCCAGTTGCTATGTTTTCAAACTCAGATTTATTTAAAAGATTCTAAAATTTTTGATTTTGATTAAAAAAAATTCTCGTTTCCTGACTGTTTTTGGGTTGCCCTACTCAGAACCGACGAAATTGGGAACTACAAAATAAATAGTTAGAAAAAAAAGAAAAATAACGAAGAAAGAGCAGATGGTAAACGATTAATATATGCTAATTTCAGGCAAATTAAAGATCTTGTGCTCGAGAACAGCTTGCAGCGAAATCCATTTCCTATTGTTTTCGTAAACTATCACTCCACCAGTGATATTGCTTTGGGAATCGTGAAGTAAGCTCTGAGTTTGATATGTATTTATTAAATATTAACTGTTACTTTCTACTTTGATTTGCTGCATTTCCCAGCGTCGTCCTCAAATTATGCAGCTGACAGCTTAACCAATTATTTGGACCAATCTTGCATTACCTGGTGACCATTGGCGGATTGGGGGGGCGATGGGTCTTTCGCCACAGGCACCAGTGCTGCAAAAGCCCGGGCCTAAAGCTAAAACTAGGGTAAATTAAAGCCTAAAGTGACTCTAAACTAAAGCATCTGTAAGTAGCAGTATTACAACTTTATTTCTAGTTTTCGCATGGTTTCAAGGGAGGAGGGGACTCTCCTCTCACTCCCCGTCGCCCCCTCCCAGAAGCTCCACTCCCTCCTCTCCTTCCCTGCCCCCCTTGCCTCCTTCTCCCGTCTTCCCAGAGTCCGTCCCAGATCCGCCTATACTGTGACCGGCACTTACTGGTGGCGTTAAGTTCGTTTCTATAAGAAATTACCAGCCCAACGGTTCTAGTAAAAGCACTTGGCAAGGCTTTAACCGTTTCAGAATGAATTTTATGTATTGCGACTTTATTTCGAATGTTACCACTGCTAGATCACGTTGGAATGCTTTGCTGACTAATAGTTTGAGACCATCGTAAGGAATGTATCTCATTTTTCCGGGCAAATTGCACCAAAAAGCAGCATTTTAGCGTATTTCCGAACTCGATTATTATTGTTTAGCTATTGCTGACGCGGTTTAGAAAATTCTTGATTTTATGTATGCAGATGGCGGGATTAAAAAAACAGCAAAAGATTTTAAAAGCGTGAAAATGCCGATAGTAGAATCTATGCTTATCCAGTTTGGCCGGTTTTTCCGGCGTTGATATTTGTAAGAATAACCGATTGGAAAAGCTGGTGCATTTCGCACCATGTTCGGGAAATTCCTCGTAAATTGTCACTAAAAAACGGGCTTTAATCTTTTAATTTATGGAATTTTATGTTTTTCTTGCAAAATTCCCTTTATCGCTGAAAAGTTAATTACTGAGCATTTCAGTTTGGCCGTTTGAAAAGTTACTTCTTTCCTTTTTCATTTTCTTGCTCCTTATTTTTCCCCACCTTTCCGCCCCACCCCCTCCTGTCTCCCTCTCC